TAGGGTAAGAAGACTTAACGATTTAACGCTCTGAGGACAACAGAGTTCAGAGCTTGCCCTTCTTATTGTTCTTAGATAAAACATATATAGACATTGGGAGGTAGAGCCAGCAGTATGCATTAATATATTTGCGGGCAGCGTCGCGAGACGAGCTTTTCCCATCCAGTTTGGGCCAGCAAAGTCGGCAAGGATTACTTCTCTCGAGAATGAGAACGTCCCACCCAAGTAATAAAGGTGGCCTTGCGCATAATTCTAGGAAGTAAAAATATAATCGTCTATTGTGCCACTGACCGCTAAGGGATCAGTGGATCACACCTAGCGTCCTTGCCCAGAGGCATAATTAAGATCATACAGTTATTAGGAGCATCATGCTTATTTTACGCCATACTTAATCGATGTCACAGGTTGAAGTATGATTTTTTTATTACGACGAGCTTCCTTGCAGGCAGCCCCACTTTATCATTCAAACACGCAAACTACTACGAGAGAATGAGGTTTATGGAAGTTTCAACGTTAGATGATATTGTAGTTTTGGTAAACATCATATTAGGAGTTCTCTGAGAGGTGGACAGCAGGCCTGAGTCTGAAAGGCCGTCCGTTCAGGAATGAGTAGGTTAGACTGATACATAACCAACCCCAACCCTAAGTCAGACCGCAATTATAATCCCCTTTGACCCCAACACTGAATTTTAAAACAGAACCACCCACGGTATGGTGCGGAAGCCCATACTTCCATGTCCTACCAAATATTAAGAATGGTTAAGCCGAATTCTTTTGTCTTCTTGCCGTGGTTTGTTGTTTCTTTATTTTTCGCTCACAAATGCAGAGTGCGTACACCATATCAGCATTGCTTGTTACTTCTTCTTTGGAAGATTCCGAAGTAGACTGCCATGCCCACTGCCATAGGACTGTTTAAGTAAACAGTTGCGCAATGTTTTTCGCTATATGATGAAATTTACTTTCCCGAACTCCTTTTACACACACTATTAACTTTCAGACGAGGAGACAAAACCTGGAAAGTCTGGCAATCCGGTTGGCTACACCAAGCCGACCCATAATCACACCGCGAGCTGTTCGAGAACGTTTAGAGCTCGCGGGCACGCCTCTTGATAGGGCCTCCACGCTGGGTGACCTTGAGCAGACCAGTGGAGTTCCCGGCGAGGGGGCAGCACCCGAGACCAGTGGCGAGAAACTGCGAAGACGTTCGCGGGCCTTGCTGGCAAGGTACCATGAGGAGGAAGAAAGAGTGAGTGGTTGCCTTTTTTCTTCGTCTTCTTTCCTTTCATCTTGAAATGTATAGTGTCCGTTGTTGACCGCCAGATTTGTCGCTTCCCGAATTTGAGGATGGGTATTCCTTCCACTTTATGACTACCTCAGCCAACTTCAAAGGTTTTTCTAAAGAGAAGACCTAATTACAAAAGTAAATAGTCTTCCTGAAGAAATTCCGGTGGTCAGGATACTCCTGAACAAATAAAAAAGGCTGCAAAAATGTTTTAGGCGTTTTATTTAGTGCCAACCTCAACTTTCAACAACAGCTATATTGACTAGCAGGCTAAGCAATTTGGTTCTGCGCAGATATTGCAGTTGCCGTGCTCCAACATCAATTCTCCGGGCGCCCGCATGCAGAGTTGTGTAAACTATGTGGTAGAATTCATCCGCCAGTTCAATTTAATATACGCTCTATTCGCACGTATATCTGGCTACTTATCGGTGAGCTATCTGCCCTCTTTTAGTGTAACTGTTGTTTTGAACGCACGTAGCCATTCTTTTGAATATATATTAGCCCCTTCTGCTCGTTACCTCACGATAGAAAACGTAGCTTTCATACTATAGCGAGTTTTCTTTGGCAC